GCGGTCGACGGTCAAAAATAAGGAAGCGAAGATAACGCTTGCCCAAAGTCATTGAACGGAGTTCCTGATTAGTGCGGTTAAGCTCTAGTTGTCAATCACAAGCCAAATGTGTCATTTGAGCGTCATTCTAACATTTCGTTCTTGCGAGAGAAAGATCGAGAAAGAGAAAGAAAGCGAACTCTGATTGTGAATTAATTAGTTTCGATTCCGCTCTTGAGGAAGCACTACTTGCTCGAAAACGTGGTCTTCCTCATTTGCAGCAGTCTGGCGCCTCAAGTCTTTTGTCTTTCCTAAGCTTACGTCTGAGACCTCTGAGTTTATCTGTTCACTGCCAGACTATCCGAATGTTAGTGTTGTGATTCCATGGAATTCTTTTCCTACCGATAGAGACTTTTCTTTAATTCCAAAGGTATTTGTACCCGATGTTGCATTTGTAAGAAATAATTGAGGTGATGATGATCATGATAATGAAATTTATTGTCATCATTATTGTTTTCATTAATATCAATAATACAATATCTATCATTCATTTCATAAGACTATAGTAGTGATTAGTTTTTGATTTGGTGTATTACTTTTATATTTTTGAAGTTACTATCTATGCCTCTGCTTTTTACTTATTTGTCATTTTTCTCATTATTTAGTCATTTTATTTATTTCCTCATTTCTATTCACTCCATACACACTTGTAATATTGCAAATTTTCCCTCCTCCATCTAGGTTCCTGTTCCTGTCATCTCTGACTTTGAAGAAGGAAGTGGTCAGTTGTTGTTTTTATTGTTAGTTTCGATGTTCGAATAAATGCAATTTACCAGACCAGACATCATTGTTCTAAAATACGCAAGCTCCATGGGTTTGAAACTTTAGCATTTAGTGACAAAGCAACGTGTTCTCAACGCAAAGTCAATATATCCTGCCTTACATATGTTAATAAATCGGGGCATGCCTCCCCCACGCCCAACAGTGATGGCTTATTGTCTCTGGAACGTAGCAGTAAACTCGATCCAGACCTTCACGGTACGTGCGTCCTTCCTTGTCAGGAGTTTGATGCAGGAATCGAGTAAAGCGCAAAACAGCTTGGGAAAGACCCAAAGAAGTGTAATTCTCTGGAAAATTATTCCGTTGGTTAGATCGAAAAAAATAACGGAGTAACTCTAACAATGAGAAGTCCTATACACCCTTCTATTGCTTTTCATATAAAATCTAGGATCGAATATGTTTATTTACAAAAGCTGCCTTCGCCAAATTTGTCAACGCTGCTCCTTGCTAATGACAAGAGAAATCATTAAAACTTAATGCACTTTAAGTTGGGAAGGCTGGGTCTTACTTGCAATAGTTCTCAACCAAGCCATATCATGAATCTCATTATTTTGCAGGTATTTCCGCCCAAAGGGTGACACATTCAATTGTAAAGCATCCAAATTCAGAATCATCGTCATGCAGTTCTGTTGCAGCTCCTAGGAAGAGGAAGAGGAAACGCCACTCTGCAGGTAGTACCGAGGTTGAAAATATTTCGAAGGATTTTCCTTTTTATTGCATTTTTTTTTCAAGTTTGCATATTGCTGTTACACATTTATGTATGGTAAATTTGTTTATGCAGTAGGCCTGGCATTCTATTTATCAGATATCCTTTACACTTAGTTATAACGTGAAGAGAATAAAAAATAACGAATTAAAACTGGTCGCCAGTACTAATTAATCACCCTTGTATCTTAAACAACTATCACCTGACCAACATTGGCGGCTAGAGACTGGCTAGAAGACGTTATTAATTACCTCCATTTTCAAGATGTTTGTCGGGCCATACACGAATGAAGAGGTCAGAGATGGATAATGAGTCTGGAAAACTCTTCAAGCGTTTCTTTGTTTTTATGGGTTGGGAAAGTGGTTCCCCTGCTGCTGCAAATGTCTCCTCGGCCAAGCCTGACAGTCTTTAAGGCCAACGATTCGGTATTGAATGATACCAAAAAGGGAAGTCGCCTTTCGCCAAAACTGTTCGCTATTCGCCAAAGTCTTGAAGCACCCTTTTCTAATTTTTCATTCTGCTTTCATTGTCATCTTCAGATTTGGTTAAGGCTGATGGACCATCAGATGACGTGTTAGAAGATCTGGCTCTGGAACTTGGAGGAAAATGGGAGAAATTAGGGAGACGCCTGGGATTCAACCAAACTACAATAGAAAACTTTGATTCAGCCAAAAGGGAGCTGGAAGATAAGGCTTTTAAAATGTTAATGGCTTGGAAACAAAAGGAAGGCTCAAATGCCACATATAAAGTTTTGTACGATGCCTTGTGTAACAAAAAGGTGCAATGCAAACTTCTTGCGATGAGATTGAGTACTCCATGGCCAAAGAGCGTCTGTATGAAGGATTCGCGCTTAGTGAGCGCGTCATTTCCCTTGCGCTTGAAGATGGGAAAAATTCTCTTCAGAGAATAGACATTTAATCGTATTTTTGCACTCAAGAACCGCTGGCTAAAGAACATCGAGGTCGGTATTCACTGAGATGTCCAGAACGACAGAGCTGAATAACGTTTGCGTATGCGCTAGGCTTTGGCGCGGAAAACAGATTTTGAGTTGTGTGCACGTTCGATTTTCTATGCTATATCTTCAGGGCGTTGTTTCCTTGCTGCTTTTCTTCTACAGAACAACTTCCAAAAACCTTGTACACACTCTCAATATTTTAAAAACTTAAATTTCTTCTTAAAAACACTGGAGACAGGAAAATGACTTCAACGAAAACAAAATGCATTTGTTTTATGTGCTAGCCCTATCTTTGTCCGCAAATTTCGCTGAATTTTAACCTCGAACGCTTGAGCCCGCGTTATTGACCGCTAGCTGTGACGTAAGATTTCGTTATTCAGCTCTTTTTTCTAGAACATATAACGCACATTACCACCCTCAAGCATCTTATTTAATACCTCAGCTTGAAATTAGAATGCATTTTCTCCTTATTATTCTCTGTACATTTCCTAAGGA